AAAAAAAAAAGGAAAATAACAGAAAGGCAAATCGATGTTAGATATTCTATTATAATAGAAAAAATTTTTAATTAAATTTTAATAATTTGATAATATTAATTATAATTTTAATTATTATATTTATTATAATTATATTTTATGATTTATTATATATATTAATTATATTTTATGATTTATTTCATTTACATATATATACATATTTATATTATTTTTTAAATAATTTATATTATGTTTTTTTTTAATTATATTATTATAATAATTTATCAACGTTTGTAACATATCGCAATTCTACTTATTATTCAGATTGTTAAAGTAATGAGTAGAATTTTCTATTAACATTAATTAATTGATATATTAATTGATAAGAAATATTTTTGGTTAAAAATAAGAATAAAGCGATTACAGTAGGAATATAAATTCAATTAAATTTAGATTTTCATTTTAGAGTGATTTCATTATTTTATTATAATAATTTATATCGAGAAAAAATAAAATATATGAATTAAAATTTTTTGCAAGCCAAAATTACTTTTAACAATTTAATTCGAAAAATTTTAGAAATTAAAATTTTTTAAATCTAAGTTTTTAAGAAAATAAATAATATTAAAAAAAAAATAACCATTTTATATCTCAAAAATTTCAAATTTTGAGAATTTCCAGAATTTCGATACTATCATTTCGAGACGTTACAATTCGATCAAAAAGTTTACTGAATATTTAAACTCATCATAGAGACACGAAACGGTATGAAAAAACGATGAGAATATCACAACGTGTAGGTACTTTTTTTATTCGTCCTTTATTGTCTTTTGTTCATTCCGAACGAATAACGCTGCAACGCCGTTTCAGACCTTGTATCGCGGCGAATCTTCCAAACGATTTATTGTCAACGCTGTATAGTCGTTTATAGATACATAGGAGGCGTACAAGAGAGCGAAAGAGATCTGTTGCACTTACCGGTCTGCCCTTTTCCCAAGGTCTTTTCCAGTCGATAAGGACCAACATATTGATGGGTCTCCTGGGTGTTGGACCCGACGGGGCTCTCCTTGCCCTGCATCGTCGAGCCACTTTCCTCCTGGTCCGCCAGGTTGGCTAGATTATCCTAGAAAAACAGGTTTGCCGACAAGGAACTTCCTCCAAACTTCCTCTTCCGCCAACCACCCACCCACCCACCCAGCCAGCTTATCGGTCTCTCGCTCCTCTCCTTTCCTTCCTTTTTCCTTCCTGCTCTTCCTTCTTCTCCACCACTTCTTCCTTTTTTTCTTTTTCCACCAGCCTTTCCTTCCGCTTTTTCTCTCTATCCACTCTTCTCTCTCTTTTGTCCTTAATTTTCGTCACGATCAATCCGTGACGAAGCGTCGTATCGCGTTGTATCGCGTTATCCACGGCATGGCGCGATCGGTGGCGTAATCGCTGTCGTGATCACTGTCGTGAACGGATGATCGTCGAAGGGAATAAATTGTCCCTTCGACGAGGATAAGGGGCACGATCGATCTCGATATATATCGAGAAATCGAGAAATCACCTAGAAATTTGCCACCACCACACGATTGTCGCACATGCACGCACTGTCACTCGCGCGACCGGCCCCTGATCTTCTGCGGCTGCCTCTTGCGGATCCTTTTCATGATGGGCGGCTGATTCACCGAGAAACAAGAAAGAAGAGAACTCGTACGAGTACGGAGGAATAATATCGGCAGTTCGATCACGAGGTGGCGGTTCTAGTAACATGGGGTACGCTCACGTGAATGGCTCGTTCGATCACCACCGGCTACACTGCTCGAAACCAAGTCACTCCTCGACGGAGTCGCGCTCGGCGCCATTGCAACTCCACCGAATCACTACGAATTACACTTAGGTCGACTCCTCACGAGTGCCACTGTTCCACGATCCGCTCTCTCGACTCCGCGAAACCAATCAGCTAGCTCTTTGATGCTCGTTCGTTCGGAAAGATTGGATGCGTTTGTTAATCACGTTGTTAAAATCGAAATGATACGGATATTTCGATCACTTTTGTTTCGAGATCGTCCTTTGCAATGCAAGACGTTTCTTTTTCCTGAGTATAATTGACGTCCAGCCACCATGAGAAAAAAGTATGAAACTCCCTTCACTCCGCAAGTACCTCCACCCAACGCGCACTCATGCACCACCACCGATATGTCACTATATCCGGCAGCAACCAAAGCGAGATTCCTCTTTTGATTCACCGAGCGATGAAGGTTCGATGGAAACTACAATTGGATGAATTCGAACGATACTTCACTTGGGCACGGTTATACCTTCGTTTTGAGAGACTCGCCGATTTATTAAAGACGTTTCGTTTAGTCGTTTCATCAACGATTCGGCCCTGTCGTTCGCGGATGACGGAGCTGACAACGAACCGCGGCGCTCCCAGTTCGATTACGTGTTACACGGGGGCCGACAGAGGGGGTAAGCTGCGCGCGCACCTCCAAACCCGTCACCACCCCTGCAGGCACCCTTTCCTCGATAGTGGGTGAATCGGTGGTGCGTAGCGAGAGATTCGAGTCTCTTCGAACATGTCATGGAATGAACAAATCGCTTTGAATATTTCGATTCGATGAAATGTAGAATGTAAAAGTTATTTTTGCAAATGATGAATTTGAAAATTGACTATGTGAATATTTATGGCGTCACTTTTGTTATCAAAATAATGGCATTGTTAATGAAAATTATTTGAATTTATTTTTTAATTTTTATTATATAATTAATTTTTGAATCGATATGTTCTTAGAGTCAATATATTATTAACAAATATATTAAAAAAAATTATATAAAAATTCGTTCGCATGATTAAAATTAACATTACACAATCAGAAATAAAATTTTTAAAAATGTTATATACAATCGTAATTTAAAACACAATATGTGAAGATTTATTCTATTATAAAACGATTATTAATCAAATTGTTAATTCTATATAAATAATCTCTTGTTAGGAATCTATAGATATATGTCTGTAAATAATGGAATATTGACTAACGATCAAAAATATTGGAAAAAATTAATGATGTAATCGTCGAATATAATTCATTCGTTAACAATTATATATATAGGAATTTAACGTTTAAAATTTTTTTATTATCCTTATAAATTATATTTATAATTTAAGGATAATAATTATATATATATATTTTAAAATACTTTAAATTTGAATATTATGTATTCAATATTTTATTATGTGTTCATATATTTAGTTTTTATACAATTTGACTTATCATTATAAATATTTTCGCTCTTTTGCCGATTCATTGTTGTTATATTTGACTCATCAGTTTTATGATAAGTAATACTTATGAAACAAATTGTTTGCATTTGATAACGCTGATTTAAATAATTCAGAAATATCTCGCTAGAGATATACATAAAATCAACTTACAATATGTTGTTCCTTATTTATTTGTACATAATGTTAATACTTATAGAATGAACAAAAATAAAACGATCGAAGCTATCACTAATAACGAGGGAGTTAAAGCTTTGATTCTCTCGGTTTAGCGTACATGGTAGGCCATGGCTCGATGTATTCTCGTCGGTATCAGGATGGCTACTAGTGGTTTGTGTCTAAGATAAGAAGTAAATGAAATTTTCGATCGATTCTCAATTTTTTGTATCATCATATATTACATTTAGAAATCTATTCCGTCTTTGTTGAGAATGTGTATTATATTATCTATATGTAGAGAATAATAAAAAGGAATGATTCATAATTTATAATACTAAATGATAAAAACATGAATCAAATAAACATGCATAAAAAAATTATTATTATTATGATAAAAAATAAATATTATAATAAAATTATAATAAACATTTTAAAAATTATAAAAATTATATTAATATTTTCAAATATTGTATGAATAATTTTTTATTTTGATTAGAATGATTCGTTTTTAAAAAATTAATGTAATAGTTAAAAAACAATATATTTTTATAATTTTTTATATCGTTTTAATATAAAAAACTATGTTATATATAATTTTTTTTATTTTACTAACAATCTCTGAAATAATTTACAAAAATTTATTACATTTTCCAATCTCTCCGATTTAATATTAAATATTGTTTACCATGAACATTTCATACATCTTTCTATTAAATTGTCATAAAAAATTATCATAAAAAATATGAGAAAATATTAGAGAAAAATTTAAGAAAATTATTTGAAATAAATCATTTGAAAAATAATTTGTTTCTCAAATAAGATTTTAGAATTTATTTATAAATAATATTATCTCAAATAAATTTATTTTTTATTTTTTTTGAAGTAATTATTTTTACTTTTATCACAAATAAAAAATTCAATTTAATCTTGTCAGGAATATTTGATAAATTACATACATATTTTATTATATACATAATAATTATTAAATATTATTTCTGATTTTCCTCAAATTAAAATGTTTTCAAAGAACCTTCCATCTCAAAACATTTCACGATGTCGAGGATCTATTTACAATCTGTAATTGCGTTTTCCTCAGAACAGATTTCCATCGGATGGCGCTAAATAGGAAAAATAAATTGGACTCGTGAGAAATCGTACAGAGCGTATCACCTTTTTTTTCTTTCTCAACAGAAAATGAGTTTATCGAGAAAAATCGATCATCTCTTGGAAAGAAATCATCCCAAACACGATTACACGATACTATAGATTGTAAATTGATTTTTGCTAACCTTCGATTTAGTTGAGTAAATGTAACAGATTCCAATTTTAACATATAAATTCCGAGAAAAGCGTGGAAACGTTACTTTATAGGGCACATGGAGCGTCTTCCGTTACGATCGAAGTTAACTCGAAAGTTATATCGACGCAATGAATAATTCATGATGGTATTAGACAGGTTAAGTCAGACGGTTTGGCTGGTCGGATGGTGATTAATCATTTAACGAATTAATTATTTAACGAAATCGGAATATCCGTCATTCTGGCCCTTGTCTGCTTATATATTCAACCATTGCTTGTCTCCGTGCATTTTAATCGTCAATGAGTAAATTTTACGGTTTTAATAATCGTATTAGTAAGATAATTATATAAGGTAATTATTATATCGATAACTATTTTAAATCTTTTTAAATGATTATGTTTCATCGTATTAAATCATTCTACAAGTAGTATCTATTTTAAGAAAATAATTTTAGTAAAAATATATAATATTATAGTAGAATCTCTATTATCCGAATTATAATAATGTACTACTTATCGAATATTCCATCATCTAAATTGTACATTATCTCTATTCGCAATAATGTAGATAGACACTTGTCATAGCAATAAAAACGGAATTAAATTTGCAATTCTCATATTCTGGTAATATTCTATATATATATATATATACATATATTCGTAATAGGATGTTTTAAAAATAAGAGAGGTTAATTGCAAGTTCCTGATTGAAGTAATTTCAAGCAACTTGTATATGATATGATATATCGAAAATTAACTGTGTGTGTTAACTATTGAAACTGAAGCGAAATCACAATGCTTAAATAATGAAACTGCTATAGAATTAACAAATGAATTATCAAAATGTCATGAAAAAGTTTCGAATAGGTGACTACACAATACTCGAATCGGAATTGTTCGGTTCAAGTCGGATCGAATCGAATTCTCGAAAATATCTCGAGACTTCAGACACATAAATATCGAAATCTTTTTATTTAATATTCACTCGGTTGTTTCTAAACACTTCAAATTCACGATTGAATTCAACAAAATTCGGCTCGATATACGATTCGGATTCTTGAAATCTCGTTCATGCGTCGTGAGATGCTTCGGAGAAACCCGATTCGATCCGATCTAACCCGAACAATTTCGACCTCGACCCGACTTGAAAATACTATGTTTTAATAATCTTAATATAAATCCATTAGGCATTTTAAGCACCGAGCAATGACAATAATATATTATTGGAAAATGTATGCAGAATAAATCGTATATATTATTATATCAAAATACAAAAAATATATTCGAATATCGAATAATATAATTTTTGCTCGTGCATTTTATAATTAGACGAGAAAAAGAATCGTTATATAAAACATATTAAACAAATATATGAAAATTTATAATTGTGATATTAAAAATTCCAAAATTAATAGTAACTATTAATAATATTATAACATACGATAACATTATTAAGATACAAATTTAAATTTATAGGTGAAAGTGTAAATTACATCTATTTTTAATTAGTTAATTTTAAAAAAAAAATTATGTGAACCATTTTAATGAACCATTTAATTAAAAAAAATTTGACTAAGAAATTAGATCTTGTAAATTGCTTGTGCAAGAAACTTAATTTTAAGAAACTGATCAATTTCTTTTGATTATAACTATAAAAATGAAAAAGAGAATCCAAAAATGCCATTGCCGAGAATAGAAACGCTCGAGGCAATCCTATTTCACGTTGAATTCTCTTTGAGGAAGACGAAATGTTTCCGATTGAAAAATTATTGCAAAGGCTATAAGAAAAATGAGTCAATTGAAAAGACGAAAGAGGAAAGTTTTGGAAAGTTTTATTCGAAAATTGGATTGGAATGAAAAAATTAAAATTGTATAATTATTTTTAAATAGTAAAAATTTACTTTTAATCTTTAAGATTTTGTAAAATTAATTTTACAAATAATTTGATTAATTTTTAGGATGCTTTTGAAAAAGATTTTGAAATTTTTTTAATTTTATCATTTTCTTTTAAGTATGTATTTAAATACATTTTCTGAATATCTAATTATCTAATTATCTGTATTATATATATACGTATACAAATTATTTATATTATTTACATTAATTATAATATTTTTACTTTTCTATTGTTGATCAGTGATTCAATAAGAATATAAGTACATATATAAGTATACTACACTATGTACATATAATACTATATATACTATATATATATTTTTTAATATACTATATAAATATAAAAAAATATAGAAATATAGAAATATAAATTATAGTTTTAATTATTATATTTATATTATAAATTTAACATACTTATATATACATATACATGCTTATAAATTTATCGACATTTCAAATTGGACAAATTAAGAATAACAATTTTCTCTAATCTATTCAAAATCTAATCCGAATTTTTTCATCCAAAATTATTTTTTCGTAATAAGAAACGTTATTCACTGAAAACATTATAAAATCAATAAAAATATTAAAGTAAAACTCAAAACTAAATTTTCTGATTCAAATACAATAATTTTAATATCTCAATTAATATTATAGAAGCAGCAACTTTGTTTGCTATTAGAAGTCAAAGAGAATTTTCTATTTATCATTCTTGAAATGCGCGCTAGAAATATCGAAGGTAGCGAGAATCTATTAAACGCGGTTAACCCCGAGCTAAAAGAGAGAGAAAACGGTCTGGGAAGAGAATAGAGTAAAATAAAGGAGAAAAGAAGAGAAACGAAAAGAGAGAAGAAGAGGAGCATTTAACGGAGGCACTTTTCTCGATGAGACGTGCGTATAAATATGCAAGGTAAATTACCCTGAGCGTTATGGCGCGAACTACGACCGAGGACACCTCGTGTGTAAAGGGGTACGAATACGATATACAGGGTGTTAATATATTCAGAATAGAATATCGTTCGAGAATCGATATAGAAGTCAAAACAAGATGCGAAAATTGCTGTACAAAAAGATCGATTAAGGATTATTTATCAAATTGTAAGCAGTTCAAGCTTGCGTTAAACGAAGCAAGATAGAGATAGAATCGTCTCACTTTATCTTCGTATCATTTCATCTAAGGTGAATTTAAACTGTTCATAATTTAATAGATAAGTTTCGCCATTTATCAGAGTTGAAAAAATTTGAAAAGAGATTTGAGAGAAAATATTGAAAATTGAAATATTTTTTATAAGCAAACACTGTTTAAAATTATCATTTTATTTAATATTTAAATTAAATTATTATTTTATTTAATAATTAAATTATGGATAAATATTATTATTGAATATAGAAAATATAAATTTTACGAAAAATTAAATTTTTTTATACATTTTATTATATACAATAAAAGCGTAACTTTAATATGTTATATCATACTATAAAATGAAATTGAAATTAAAAATCATTATTTGAAATAGTATTTCTTTATGTTTCAATGAAATACTCATTTCTATAAATTAGTATAAAATATTTATTTGAGATATTATTATTTAAATATTATTTTAAAAAAAAGTTTATTCTCAAAACTTTGTGTCATTCATATTCATTTTTATTTATTTATTTCAAAAATCTATTTTTCTCAGCCTTCATTTCACTTCATTTAATGCAAATTTAAATTTAAATTCATAAACAAACTTCAATCAATGTTAGATATATTTTGAGAAAAAGATATATTGTAAATAATTATTGAAATAAAAATATATTGAAAATGTTAATTGAAATAATAATTTTTTAAATATATATTAAAAATAGTTATTTCTGATATAGAAATTTCATGCTTATATTGATCATTTCAACTATTATTTTTCATTATTATTATATAAAAAATATAATTAGCAAAATAAAAAAAAACTAAAAGTTTAATCATTAACTCATAATCTTTGTTTTATGTTTGTTAAATATATAAGTATTTCGATAATTTAATAATACATTTCAAATAAAAAATCAATTAGTAGTCATTCTATAGAAATGATTTTTAGATAATCTATTGTTGTTAATTTTGAACTATCTAATCATTTTCTAATATATAAAAATAATTATTGAATGTTAAGATCCACTTAACTATCTAATAAAGAAAATTTCATTCATATATATATATATAAAAGAATGCATTAAATAAATACAATTTTACAAAAATTATATTGAAATACTTATACGTATATAATACAAGATTACTATTTCAAACTCATGACTGAAAAATATATAACAGAAATATATATTTCATGTAATATATAATCAAAATCAAATAATTGTTTCAAATTGACCAATGTAACATAATTTGGCAAATAATATTTGTACTTTTATTTTTTAAATAAATATTATTTTATCGAACATTGGCCTTGAAATCAATATTTTTATATATTACTTAATTTTTCACATTTGTTTTGACTTCTAAAATTTATTTTCCAAAAGTGTTCGACAAGTGTACTGTATTAACACCCTGTAGATCTCCAAGCTCTGGAGGAAAGAGGAGGTCGAAAGGGCGACGAATAGAGAGGGACGACAGTCGGATGGCACAAAGAGGAGGGTGCAGACCGAGGATCGATAGGTATATAGAGTCAGATAGGAACACAGGAAGCGTCTGACACCGGAAAGCTCCTGGGGGATGGCTTCTTACGAGCTAGTTCTGACCGACTGACGACAACAATCTGTTTTCCTCTTTTTCTCTCTCTTTCCCTTCTCTCTACTCTTTCCTATCTTCTTGTTCCACGATATATTTTTAAATCTTTGTCTCTTCGTATAAAGCTCGACTCTTTATTTTTATCCGTTCGACGTTAAATTCATGCCATTCAGAAACGATGAATCGAATCGATGTTTCCTTTATGCGAATCATAAAAAGTTTTATGTCGATATCCTGGAACAGGTATGAAGAAGTAAACAACATTTTATAGAGGATAGTGAAAGTTTTTTTTTTTTTTTGAAAGAAAAAAGGGAAATTCAAATTTAGAAATAATAGATAGAATTGGAGAAAATGGATTTTTCATATGTTTGATGGATAATTAGAAATAAATATTATTATTTCTTTAACTGATAAAAATATCATAAAAATAGTTTAAACTTTTTCAAAGACAATAATTATAGAAAATATTTCAAATATTTTAAAACAAAACTTTTTAAAATGAAAGAAAATGTTTAAACTTACGATGAAAAATTTTATTGTAATCAATTACATAAAATTAGGTCATGTTGATTATCTGGAATTAGAAGTAGCAAAAAAATTAATAATTTTCTTAGAGTGATATTAATAATTTTCTTAGATATATTATAAATAAACTTCTTTTCAAAATAATAATTGTAAAAAGAAATTATATTTTAAATATATATTTTAATTTTATATAAACATTATCATGACAATAAGTATTTCAAATAATGACATGTATCTTAAATAAATAACTCTTAATTTTAACATATTACAATAAAAAATATGTTGCAATTATATAATATAATATGTAGCAGATTTACCAAAAATTTAAAACTTGTATTTTTTATATTGCCACATAACATATTATATATTTGCTGAAATAATAACAAAATATGCATTAATCACTTTATTAAATAAATAATCGTTGATAATTGTATTTTTTAATAGTTAAGTTCTGTAAATTGTCAACTTTTTATTTAGTATTTTGACATAATGCATCTTGCAACATGCACTCTCATAGCAATTTGAATATGCAAGAAATTCAAAATCATTTTTTTTTAAATTGTAATTTATGTGACTATTATAGTAAATGTGCGATATAAAAACCTCAATCTATTTTCAAAATTTGACAAATAAGAAATGAAAAATAGAATACAGCCATTTTCCATATTTATTGGAAAATTTTTATCCACTTTAATCAAATAAAAAAATAAATGTTTAAGCTTCAATGAATCTGAATATAAATAATATTTCAGGCATTTAATCTGTGATCAGATAATAAAATCTCTCATATTTTTTTAATTTTACAACACAATGATTTTAAATTTTATTCAACTATAAAAAATCATGATGTAATTTAAAAAATATAGTTTGCTTTTTTATTTCTCTTTTTAAATTATGTTATAAACAATCTACAATCTATTCAAATTTATCTGGATATATATGAAAGAGCACATATCTCAATTTTGATGAAAAAGTGAATTGAGTTTTATTATCTAAAGTTTTCCATCTCACATGAGAAATGAAATAATATTTTTATACTTTTTTTTATTATTTGCTTAATTTCATAACATTTGCAAATAACAAAATTAATTTTTTAAGTTGCTCAATTATTAATGACACAAACGATCTGTTAAATAATTTTGTATTGGCAATCCATGTTTTTCCATACCTGCATTGTGTTTATTCACCAAGCGAACGATTCTTTATTCGAAGCGAGCAGACTGCTATTTTTTGGCTCGTAAATTCCATCGATTTCTTTGCTTACTGTCACTCGAATAAAACGACCATACGAAATTATTCACAACGTACAGTGAAAAGTCGATTATTTGAACTAATTGGAAGACAAATCTGTCCGGATAAGCAGTCTTTAAGATAAATCACTGAAATATTTATAAATTTTTTATATAAAGAATTAAATTTATTTGTTTTTAAAATTAATTTTAAATAATTTAAAGACATTATTTAAAGACAGTATTAAATTTATAAAAATTAAATTATAAACAGTAATGTGAAAAAGTTTTAATCTCAATCAGAATGAAATATTAGTAATAAAATCAATGATAATATATTATGTATATCAATAATAATATATAATATATAATATACAGTGATCAATAGTCTATAATTTGATTTTAACATTATTTGTAATTATATTTTTATAATTATAAAAATATTGGATATTTTTTAAATAATATTAGATTATAATATAAATATAAAAATATAATTAACACATATTTTGTTAATAATACAATTTTCACAATACAAGAATTTTTTCTCATTTTACATTTTTAATTCTTAAATCTGGTCTATTGAACGACGCACCATTGTTAAGAGATTAAAATTCCTTTTGATCAACGATCAACGAAGTTGACGACAAACAAAAAGGACAATTAAGAATATCTGGCAAAACGGAATAGAAAATCTACATACATTCTTGTCCATAAATTATTTAATAATACGTCTCAAAATAGGACAAATGAACATTATAATATGATATTGACAATAATTAATTATTTATATTCTAAGAAAATATTATGTTTCAATAATTTTAATATTAATTTATCTTAATCTTTTAAATATCAACAATATAAGTCAATAGATTTATTCTAAAAACAAAATATTTGAACTGCAAATGCTTATGCAAAATCAAATTTTTATCAATATGAAAAAAAATGAAGTTTAAATAATGTTATAACGTATTTCAGCCTTCGAGATCACAATACATATTACATTTTGAATATTTTGTGTCTTTTTATATATCATGTGCATTCTATAAATTTTTCTATAATTAAATTTTACATAAATATATTCTATTCTGTGTCACAAAATATTAATATATTTTTTGAATCACTTTTGAAAGATCAATTCTAAAGAAAAAAAAAAAAAAATACAAAACTTGATATACAAAATATTGGAGCTTATTTATTTAGTTAGTTTATAAGCTACTGAAGTTTAATGAATGGGGCAATTCTATCTCTGTCACATTGTTATCTCATTCTATCTGCATCTTATTTTATCTAATCCAAATTTAAATTGCTTATAACTTAATAAATAAGCTTCAATCGATATTTTTATATACCAATTTTTTTTTTACCTCTAATTAATTTTCCAAAGATGATTCATGAATATATTAATATTCTGTATAAGTGAGATAAATTGCTTGTCAAAAACTCAAAAATAAATAAATAAATAAATAAATAAAATGAAAAATTTTCAAATTTTTAAAAATATAATATTTATACGAAAGTTTGAATATATCATAATTAAAAAATCAAATTTTGAAAATTTTTCAACATTTTAGTACTCTAAAGAGAAAAATATATTGATTTTAATTAGATGAAAAAAAAAGAGAGCTAAATTTTATGAAAAAGATATTAGATAATTATTAAAAAAAATTTAAAACAATTATGGAACTTTTTAATAAGTTCTATTTATAAAATGGATAATGAAACATTTTTAAAAAAATTCTTATAATAAGTTTCATTATACATAAAAACAATAAAACAATTGATTCTTAAAAGTAAAAGTTTGAATAAAATCTATAAGTTAAAAATGTTTTTATCATAAGAATAAATTTTTTTTTAACATTAAAACAATTTTATATATAAATAAGAAAGATTGAATATTATTCAGTATACTATTCAAAATAATTATATACATAATTATTATTAAATAATCAACAATAATAAATGAATTCCTATAAAATTTAGCTTTTAAGATACACATATGCCTCTAAAAATTCAATATATTTTGGACTAATAATTATATTACTAACTTCATCTACTATTAAAATATATTTCCATATAAATATTTTATCGGCAACAATGAAAATCAGAATACAATAAAATTCTTATGATATGCATTGTAAACATTTTATTTTTTCTTACTTATAAAAAATATATTTTTTTTTCATATTTTTTGTGATCAATGAAGAATATGAAATCGAAAAAAAGACTGCAAATATTTCTTAGGATATTAATATATTTTCCTTAAATAATTAATATGTTTCAGTTTTGATCTTGCAACTGGGCGCTATTGTACATAATTTGAAATTATTTGAATTATTATTAAAATTTAAAAAAAAAAAAGAAACTCTTTATTTCGATCAATATCTGTTTTAAAACTGTTATATTAAAACAAATTCATAAATTAATAAAAACAAATTAAAATAAACTTATGTTTAAAATTAGCAAATATCAAATGAATTATGGATTCATTTATGGATTCATGTATGGATAATATACTTACATGAGAGTTCCATTAATTACACGTAAATTAACAATTAGTATTTTTGATTTTCTTGCAGATCTCTTGAGAAAGAGAGAAAACAAGTTTTCTTTATAGTGATACAGTTAGTTGCTCATGAATTGCTCATGTTGTTCGCTATTTGCGAGTCTAGCCGAAATGGGATTTCAAGGTAACTAATAGGAGACCTTCCTTCGAGTTTTGGAATAATTCGGCTGCGAACAATTAATTGATTCTTCTTTGTCTTCTGCAATACAGGCTTGTATAATCACCATAAATACCGGAAACTTCTCGACGTCAGTGCAGTCGATAAATCATATCGAAAGATATATAAAATATGTCTGGAAAATTATAAGATTAATTTTTTTTTCGAATTTTTCTGAAAATGATATCTATCAATTAAAGCTGTTTTTAATTTTCAAAATAGAACAAGTTCATTTTGTGAATTATTATTATTGTTATAAATATATTTACAATTAGATCTATTTATTATTTCTATTAATTATCGCATTATTTTAGAATTATTAGAATTACAATTTTAGAATTTTACTTTTTGAATATATACTTTAAGAAACTTAAAAACTTATGCATCGTGAAACAAAATATGAATATGTTGTTTTATTTCACTCATAAATCATTTATACCTTTCTTATTCGTTTTTCACAAATCAGTGAAGCAAACGAAATCGAGAAAATATACCAAAAATATCTCCCTAGATAACTGATGCATTTTGATCTTGATTTTGTGATGTTTAATTATGACGTATATATTATATTAAAAGCAACATAAAAATCTTATCCTTTACAAGTTTTTCAACGATAAAAGTATTTATGATCACAAGTACGTATGGAAACATCACAAATATTTTTAAATATTATAATTGCAAGAACATTTTTGAGACTTTTGATTATTAATAATTATGCAATTATTTCAATGTAAAATAGATTTTCAAACTTTCAATGCGTTTTTCTCAAAATATTAATTAATAGATTTGCATTGTTTCTGAAATCATAGCTTCAATTATTTGAGACATTTTGTAAATTATATGTTCGTATGCATTTTTTCATAGCAATTTTTCATAGGCAGGAAACATGTATATGCCACACAAGTTGTAAAAGTGATATTATAGCATCTTGTTGATAAGTTCGCTCCTATATGGCGCAACATGATTTATCTATTAATTATTTAAACATATATTATAAAGATATTAACTGGAACATAATTGTTTGTTATTAATAAGTTCAAATAAATTAATCTGCAAAATGATAGTTTCAAGAAATAAATATTTGTTTTAAATTAAACTTCATTTGAAATATATTTGATAAAAAGTACGTATTAAAATCGGTATTTATAAATAAATTTATTTGATCTTTTTCAAATATGTATATATAATTTTGAAATTTCCGAAACTATATGTATATCTATAACTACATATATCGACCCCATAATGAAGAGTAATATCACAAAAGTTCTAACAAGAAAAGTTTTAATGCCATTTTTCTAGCAAAAATTAAATTTTTCAAGCGAATTTTAGTTATTAGGAATTAAAGTTATAACTTGCAACATTATATTTTTTAAAATCAGTAGGTTTATCTGGATTCTTTGTAAGTTAAAAAAAAATAAAAGAAATGCTAGCATTTCTGATAATACAATTCATGTGCATTGTATACATAGTTGATGTTATTCCATAAATTAATGTGAAATTAAATAAACTTATTTATAAATCATAAATATACAATAGCTCATAAAAATATTTGAATACTTTTATTATTTAATTTTAGAAAAAAACTCATCTAACATAAAAACTTTGATTTAAAAAAAATTCTGTATAAAATATAATATTATATTATATATAT